TATTTAGGGTGAAGACAAATTATAATAAAACAATGGCAGTCTATTTTATTATAATTTTTTTCTTTCGGAATATTGAACCGTTCTACGATATTACATAAAAATTTTTTTTTTTACGCCTCATTATTTTGCATCATTTTCGTCATTTAAATTCAAAACCTTGTTCAATCATCTTTTTTTTTTTGTAAATTTGTGTTTAACATTTAATATTGACGGTTAACACTTGAATCAAAAAAAAAACGCCAACCGTTTGAGATTTCTTTTTTTGATATTTTTTTTTTTTTTTTTTTTTTAATATATTATATTTCGTTGATTTTAATATTACTTTAAGTTATGCTTAGTGAAACGTTAAATTATAGTGAAACGTTAATTAAATGATCAAATAATTATTTGATCGGCGGTCTGAGAAATATAAAAATGCCTCGAATTTTTGTAACGTTTTTCTTTCATTTTTTTTTTTAAAAAAAAAAATAAAGAAATAAAATAAAGAAAAAATATCATAATTTCTAATCCTCCTTATCGATCATTCTGAAATATATAATCTTTTCATATATACATATATTTTAATGTGTTATTCATACTATTCAAGATCATCCGAAATGCAATATATTGAAAATGAAATTAAAATTAAGATATTTAAATATGTCAAATATCCACTTAATTTATCTTTGACTTGTCAAGATTGGTCGGTTATTGCCAAAGATCCTTATGCTAAGACTGAATGGTTATTAGTACATTATAGAAAAGCTCATGCGTTATATCACGCAGTAAGATTAGGTCCCACTTTTATTGATATACCAGTATGTCAAGCATTAATTGCAAGAAAAGTTTTCATATCAAAATACTTTATTCAAAGATTATTGATGCATTTTAGAAGCTATGACTCAAAACTGATCCAATTTGAAACAGAACATAACGTTGGTCAACTTGATGCTGATAGAATACGCGCTTTTCAACAGAAAATCAAATCATTTTGGGAGAACGATCTATCTTTATCCGTGTTAGCCTATTTATTAGATAAAGGGCACAAACAATTAGTTAACACTAATGAAGAGTTATATTCCAAAGAAGATGTCATGAAATTGTTTCATTTTCTCTCCGCAGTTTATCACGTGATAAATCATGTCAAGATTCAGAAAAAGAATTTAAAATATCTCAATGATTTGACTTTAAATAAACAATTCATTCCATTTCATCCTAAACCAAAAGCACTTCAAATAGACTTTAAAGCTTATCCGCATATTTATCAGCCACACGAATATTCATCTAAAGGCGGCTGCGAAAATGGTAAACCTACTAATTTAACAAAATTTGATAATTTTTCAGGCCAAGGAAGTTTTTTAAGGTAAATAAGAAATATTATTTCAGTTAGACATAAATTTTTAATTATTTTCACATATTAACTGTTAATCTATTTTCGATTCAATTAATAATAATATAGTTTTCAAACGACGCCTATCACTGTCCTAACGCTTAGAGTACGACCCTTAAGAAATATTAATCAAATGAGAAGACGCAATCAACTTAGAAGACGAAGAAGAAACAGACGCCAAATTAATGTGCCAACCAATAATGAAGATATAATAAGTCTAATTGCAAGCCTCCCCCAACAGCCGATTACGAATGATCCATTTATTAATCAATTTTTCAATGGGTCCTCTTTCATTTAGGCACATGCAAGCGACAATAAAAATCTCAATTTAAAAAATGGTTTGAAAAAAAATATAATTATAAAAAAAAAAAAGAAATTATTAAAAAAAAATATTTTTTTTTTT